TCGGTTGTCGACGGTTCAGTTGTACTGTATTCGGTTGTCGACGGTTCAGTTGTACTGTATTCGGTTGTCGACGGTTCAGTTGTACTGTATTCGGTTGTCGACGGTTCAGTTGTACTGTATTCGGTTGTTGACGGTTCAGTTGTACTGTATTCTGTCGTCAACAGTCCAGTTGTCGATGGTTTAGTTGTCCTGTATTTGGTCGTCGACGGTTCAGTTGTACTGTATTCGGTTGTCGACGGTTCAGTTGTATTGTATTCTGTTGTCAACAGTTCAGATGTCGACGGTTCAGTTGTCCTGTATTTGGTCGTCGACGGTTCAGTTGTACTGTATTTTGTAGTTGATTGTTCAGTTGTACTGTATTCGGTTGTCGACGGTTCAGTTGTACTGTATTTTGTAGTTGATTGTTCAGTTGTACTGTATTCAGTTGTTGAAGGTTTTGTTGTACTGTATTCGGTTGTACTGTATTTTGTCGTCGATTGTTCAGTTGTCGACGGTCCAGTTGTACTGTATTTAGTTGTCGACGGTTCAGTTGTCCTGTATTTGGTCGTCGACGGTTCAGTTGTACTGTATTTGGTTGTCGACGGTTCAGCTGTACTGTATTTTGTAGTTGCTTGTTCAGTTATACTGTATTCCGTTGTCGACGGTTCAGTTGTACTGTATTCTGTTGTCAATAGTTCAGATGTCGACGGTTCAGTTGTCCTGTATTTGGTCGTCGACGGTTCAGTTGAACTGTATTCGGTTGTAAGATATTTTGTCGTCGATTGTTCACTTGTACTGTATTCGGTTGTCGACGGTTCAGTTGTACTGTATTTGGTTGTCGACGATTGAGTTGTACTGATTTCGGTTGTCGACGGTTCAGCTGTAATGTATTTTGTAGTTGATTGTTCAGTTGTACTATATTCGGTTGTACTGTATTTTGTCGTCGATTCTTCAGTTGTCGACGGTCCAGTTGTACTGTATTCGGTTGTCGACGGTTCAGTTGTACGGTATTCGGTTGTCGACGGTTCAGTTGTACGGTATTCGGTCGTCGACGGTTCAGTTGTACTGTATTCGGTCGTCGACGGTTCAGTTGTACTGTATTCGGTCGTCGACGGTTCAGTTGTACTGTATTCGGTCGTAGACGGTTCAGTTGTACTGTATTCTGTTGTCGACGGTTCAGTTGTACTGTATTCTGTTGTCAACAGTTCAGATGTCGACGGTTCAGTTGTCCTGTATTTGGTCGTCGACGGTTCAGTTGAACTGTATTCGGTTGTACGATATTTTGTCGTCGATTGTTCACTTGTACTGTATTCGGTTGTCGACGGTTCAGTTGTACTGTATTTGGTTGTCGACGATTCAGTTGTACTGATTTCGGTTGTCGACAGTTCAGTTGTACTGTATTCGGTTGTACTGTATTTTGTCGTCGATTCTTCAGTTGTCGACGGTCCAGTTGTACTGTATTCGGTTGTCGACGGTTCAGTTGTACTGTATTCGGTTGTCGACGGTTCAGTTGTACTGTATTCGGTTGTCGACGGTTCAGATGTACTGTATTCAGTTGTACTGTATTCGGTTGTCGACGGTTCAGATGTACTGTATTCGGTTGTTGACGGTTCAGTTGTACTGTATTCTGTTGTCAACAGTCCAGTTGTCGACGGTTCAGTTGTCGACGGTTCAGTTGTCGACGGTTCATTTGTCAACGGTTCAGTTGTCCTGTATTTGGTCGTCGACGGTTCAGTTGTACTGTATTTGGTTGTCGACGGTTCAGCTGTACTGTATTTTGTAGTTGATTGTTCAGTTGTACTGTATTCGATTGTCGACGGTTCAGTTGTACTGTATTCTGTTGTCAACAGTTCAGATGTCGACGGTTCAGTTGTCCTGTATTTGGTCGTCGACGGTTCAGTTGTACTGTATCTTGTAGTTGATTGTTCAGTTGTACTGTATTTGGTCGTCGACGGTTCAGTTGTACTGTATCTTGTAGTTGATTGTTCAGTTGTACTGTATTCGGTTGTCGAAGGTTTTGTTGTACTGTATTCGGTTGTACTGTATTTTGTCGTCGATTGTTCAGTTGTCGACGGTCCAGTTGTACTGTATTTTGTAGTTGATTGTTCAGTTGTACTGTATTCGTTTGTCGACGGTTTTGTTGTACTGTATTCGGTTGTTGACGGTTTTGTTGTACGATATTTTGTCGTCGATTGTTCACTTGTACTGTATTCGGTTGTCGACGGTTCAGTTGTACTGTATTTGGTTGTCGACGATTCAGTTGTACTGATTTCGGTTGTCGACGGTTGAGTTGTACTGATTTCGGTTGTCGACGGTTCAGTTATACTGATTTCGGTTGTCGACAGTTCAGTTGTACTGTATTCGGTTGTACTGTATTTTGTCGTCGATTCTTCAGTTGTCGACGGTCCAGTTGTACTGTATTCGGTTTTCGACGGTTCAGTTGTACTGTATTCGGTTGTCGACGGTTCAGTTGTACTGTATTCGGTTGTCGACGGTTCAGTTGTACTGTATTCAGTTGTCGAAGGTTCAGTTGTACTGTATTCGGTTGTTGACGGTTCAGTTGTACTGTATTCTGTTGTCAACAGTCCAGTTGTCGACGGTTCATTTCTCGACGGTTCAGTTGTCGACGGTTCAGTTGTCCTGTATTTGGTCGTCGACGGTTCAGTTGTACTGTATTTGGTTGTCGACGGTTCAGCTGTACTGTATTTTGTAGTTGATTGTTCAGTTGTACTGTATTCGATTGTCGACGGTTCAGTTGTACTGTATTCTGTTGTCAACAGTTCAGATGTCGACAGTTCAGTTGTCCTGTATTTGGTCGTCGACGGTTCAGTTGTCCTGTATTTGGTCGTCGACGGTTCAGTTGTACTGTATTTGGTTGCCGACGGTTCAGTTTTACTGTATTTTGTAGTTGATTGTTCAGTTGTACTGTATTCGGTTGTCGAAGGTTTTGTTGTACTGTATTCGGTTGTACTGTATTTTGTCTTCGGTTGTTCAGTTGTCGACGGTCCAGTTGTACTGTATTTTGTAGTTGATTGTTCAGTTGTACTGTATTCGTTTGTCGACGGTTTTGTTGTACTGTATTCGGTTGTTGACGGTTTTGTTGTACTGTATTTTGTTGTACTGTATTTTGTCGTCTGTCCAGTTGTACTGTATTTTGTTGTCGACGGTTCAGTTGTACTGTATTCGGTTGTCGACGGTTCAGTTGTACTGTATTCGGTTGTCAACGGTTCAGTTGTACTGTATTTTGTAGTTGATTGTTCAGTTGTACTGTATTCGGTTGTCGACTGTTCTGTTGTACTGTATTCGGTTGTCGACGGTTCAGTTGTACTGTATTCGGTTGTACTGTATTTTGTCGTCGATTCTTCAGTTGTCGACGGTCCAGTTGTCCTGTATTCTGTTGTCGACGGTTCAGTTGTACTGTATTCGGTTGTCGAAGGTTCAGTTGTACTGTATTCGGTTGTTGACCGTTCAGTTGTACTGTATTTTGTTGTCGACGGTTCAGTTGTACTGTATTCGGTTGTCGACGGTTCAGTTGTACTGTATTCGGTTGTCGAAGGTTCTGTTGTACTGTAATCGGTTGTACTGTATTTTGTCGTCGGTCCAGTTGTACTGTATTTTGTTGTCGACGGTTCAGTTGTCCTGTATTCAGTCGTCGACGGTTCAGTTGTACTGTATTTGGTTGTCGACGGTTCAGCTGTACTGTAT